AGGGTGCTAAAACCAGCGCCCCGCCTGAGACATCCTCACGATATGCTCTCCAAGCGAAGGAGGTTGTAACAGAAAGCAATCAATTTGAGACATCCCCACAAAACGGCCGCGAACGGGACCGTGCAATACCCCTCGGCGGCTCCTTTGATGAAACCAGCGCAGCCCGCCTGAGACATCCTCACAATCTGCTCTGACAGCCGAAGATGCTGAGACAGAAAACCAACAAAACGCTTGAGAAATCCCCACAAAACGGCCGCGAACGGGACCGTGCAATACCCCTCGGCGGTTCCCCATTAGGGGTGCTGAAACCAGCGTCCCGCCTGAGACATCCTCAGAATCTGCTCTGATAGGCAAAGATGTTGTAACGGAAATCAAGCAAACCGCCTGGGACATCCCCACAAAACAGCCTCCACCGGGACCGTGAAAACACCCATGGCGGCTCCCCTTGGGGGTGCTGAAACCAGCGCCCCGCCTGAGACATCCTCAAAATCTGCTCTGATAGCCAAGTATGTCGAGACAGAACACAAGCAAACCGCCTGAGACATCCCCACACAATTGCTGCGAATGGGACCGTGAAAACATCCCTGGCTGCTCCCCTTGGAGGTGCTGAAACCATCGCCCCGCCTGAGACATCCTGACAATCTGCTGTGTGTTGAGTATGTCAGGCAATGGGAAGGCCTGAGTATAAGTAGGTCTGAGTAGGAGTGTGTATGAGTACGTCTGGGAACGAGTCTGAGTATGAATAAGTCTGGGTATGAGTGAGGCTCAGCATGAATAAGCCCGAGGAGGAGGAGAAGAAGAGGAGGAATAAGTAGGAGGCGTCCAAGTAATTATTCACTGCGTGGAGCTCCCCATATGTGCATATATTCGCATGGACCTGTCCGCCGTGAGAGTCTAGGCGCAAGAGTTTTCGAATATAAGCGGGCGTGAGTTGTGACGGTCTGGTCAGAATCTAACTTCGAACGGATTGGAGCGTGAATGAGTCTTGGTAGTACGAGCGCGTCTCTGCGCATGAGCCTGGGGCCTCCTGGGGCCTCCAGAAACCTCCTGGGCCTTCATGGGGCTTCCAGGAGCCTCTTGGGGCCTCCTGGGGCCTCTTGGGGCTTCGAGTGGCCTCCTGAGGCCTCCTGGAGCCTCGCGTAGCCTCCTGGAGCCTCCTGGGACCTCCTAGGGAGGATTCGTGCCCCAGGAAACGCCCGATCTATAGGAACAGACGTACATAAAACATTGCGGATTGGAGCCACAGGAGAAGGGCAGTCTATAGGAGCACACGTAAAACACCAAGGACTCGTGCCCAAGAGGAGTCCCAATATATAGGATCAGACATAAAACATGTAGGATTGCATACACAGGAGAAGGACAATACATAGAAACACACGTATAACATCAAGGATTCGTGCTCCAAATGAGGCCCAAGCTATAGGAGGATACGTAAAACGCATGGGATTGGAGCCACTCCTGTTGCCTTCTGAGGCCTCCTGCTCCTGGGGCCTCTCGGGGCCTCCTGTTGCCTGGGCCTCCTGGCGCTTCCTGTGGCCTCCTGGGGCCTCCTGTGGCTTCCTGAGGCCTCCCTGGAGCTTCCTGGGGCCTCCTGGAGCCTCTTGGGACACCATGTGGCCTCTTGAATCTTCCTGTGGCCTCCTGATGCATCCTGGGACCTCATGTGGCCTCCTGGGGCCTCCCGAAGCCTGCTGGAGCCTCCTGTGGCATCCTGGGGAGAATCTGCAAAACAAGCAAACCGATCGAAGCATCCTCAAAATCTGCCCCCCCCCCCCCCCCTGGAGGGCGAACATGAGCGCCTCGCTCGAGGCATCCTTCAAATCTGCTCCGAAAGCGGAAGATGTTGGGGACCAAAGCAGGCAAACCGCCTGAGACATCCCTGCCATTGGGGCCCGAACGGAGGCCGTGAGATACCCCTGGCGGCCTCCCCTCTGGAGGCGCCTCGCATGAGACATCCTCAACATCTGCCCCGAAAACGGAAGATGTTTTGGGGGGCAAACCAGGCAAACCGCCTGAGACATCACCGTCATTTGGGCGCGAACGGAGGCCGTAAGATACCCCTTGCGCCCCCCCCTTAGGATTGCTAAAACCAGCAAACCGCTCGAAACATCCTCATCGTCTGCTCATCCTCATCGTCATCATCATCATCATCATCATCATCATCATCATCATCATCACCACCACCACCACCATCACCGTCATCATCATCATCATCATCATCATCATCATCATCATCACCATCACCATCACCATCACCATCACCATCACCATCAACATCAACATCATCATCATCATCATCACCATCACCACTACTACCACCATCATCATCATCATCATCATCATCATCAGCATCAGCATCATCATCATCACCACCACCACCATCATCATCACCACCACCACCATCATCATCATCATCACCACCATCACCACCATTATCATCATAGTCATCCTCATCATCGTCGTCATCATCATCATCATCATCATCATCATCATCATCATCATTATCATACTCATCCATCATTCACCATCACCATCAGACTCACATCATACCCTTACCATACTATGGTCATCATCATGGTATGGGTGGTCCGGCGCGGTCGGAGAATAACAAGAACCCCATCATTGGGATATGGGGAATAACAAGAACCCCATCTTAGGATATGGGAAAAAACGCCTGCGTGGAGAGGCCACGGAATCGACAGAAACACGCCCACGCCTTGCTCGCGCGATTGCAAAGTTCCTTTTCAAACGCACTGTACAAGGTGAGGCGTGTGCCCGACATGTGCACACGCTCGCTCCCCTCAGTGCGCGTCAAAAGTTTCTCGTCGATGGTAGTTTGCGTGGTTACGTCGTTTGCGGCCGTCGTGCACCACGTGCAGTCTGCCGCGGGTGAGAAACAGCCAGCTCGAAGGAGGAATAGTTTAAGTAACGCCCGCGCCATCGGTTCCCAACGAGGCGTATAACTGTCCAAGGGCCAAAATCTTGTCATCAACGCAAACGCACACACACAAGTTTTTGAGTCGGCGGCGCAGAGTAAGCTAAGGCACGGTCGGCTGATGGAAGTGTCAATTGCGGGCAAGCTTAGTCGAACGCGCCGTGTTGAAATCATCCAGCCATAGCCATGCAGATTGGTGGTGGTGGCGGTGAAAAGATGCGGCACTGCGAAGCCAAAGAGCAGCGGCCAAGCATCTCGCGGAGCGTAGCTCGACGCCATGAGTTGAAGCGCGGGCAGCAGCCTGATGTGAATTAGCAAGTCGAATGCAGCGGCCAAGCATCCCGCGGAGCGTAGCTCGACGCCAAGAGTTGAGGCATGAACAGGCGCACGCACACACACACACACACCGTTACACTCGCCCCCAGGGCACACACACAAACTCTTCGTCGCGCAATGCTTGTTGGAAACGAGTGCGTCGACATCTAAAACAGATTGAACCTATTAGGGCCATCAGGTCCCCCTTCACAGAAAATACCGCGCAACGGAGATCGCATCGGCGCGTCCGTCTCCACCGTCCACCCCCGACACCTAGACCTGCGAGCGCTATGTCTTAACCCATTCGTCACCAACCTCCTTGCTCCGACGAGGTGTTTGACAGGATCGTACATCTCGAACAGATCGCCACCGAAAACGTGGACAGGGTCAACAAGACGTCACTCGACCCCATGCGTTCCTCAATCAAGTAATAAGATATGAACATGGCACCCAATGCCTGGCGCTGGGGTCGGAAAGCCAAACTAAAGTTCCATAAGACAAGCAAGGCACACCTCCACCACGAGACGGAGTGTTGTGTATAATCGGCCCCAACTTGCGCGCGGGGTCAACCGCTTTGAGAACGCATGGCACGAACAAGTCATCCCTGACTCTTCATATACTGATGTATGGCTGAAGTCTCGGACCTCGAACGCTTCTGCAACAGCGTCGAGCGAATAATCGGCCAAGCTGGCCAGCATCTCCGCAATAACATTGTCTGCAGCCCTAGCCTTATCGCGCGCGAACGCGCACAAAATTGCTAACCCAATTCCCGTCGGACTTCTTCAAGCCGAGAACGCCCGCGTGCCATGACTTGGAAATCTCATCTGGCAGCTCTTCCTGGAGAGATCTGCCATCAGTGCACAACTCAAAGAAATACGGCGTGATCATATGACGTCAGTGCGCAACTCCATGAAGCTAGCTCGCCGGCGTTCGCGTCCTAGAAGAAGGGCAACACGGTCCGTGTGAAAGGCCGTACTGGGCCCAACTTGAGCATAGCCTAGCACATCTGGGCGTCAAGCCTGATCCTCGCGAGCCAGCGTCGATATTTGGTGGTCTGATTCGACAGCAAGGCCCAGTCCATCTTGACTCGAAGAGCATACTCAATGCCCCTCAAGGTCATTTCGCTCATTGGACTTCTGCGTTTTCGCGCCGTTTCGCGCGCTGACCCCACCCGCAACTCGAAGCCTCAGAAGCGACGACACGAAAGCTCCTGCAATAAATTGAGCATCCACGACTGCGTGAGATTGATGTCGGCGAAAGATCGGCCACTCGGGTCGCCAGACGCTGCTTCATCGATACGCCCCAATCCTGCCACAAGAACGACAGCACCAACCGTGAGTCGGCGGAGCCAGTTCCGTCAGCATATGCAGCCCATCGCATCGGCCCCTCCGTTGACAGTGATCCTGGAATGCGGCTCGATTCTCACGAGGCAGGGGGGAAGAGAGAGAAGAGGAGAATGGAACCCTGACCAGCAGCAGGACGAGACGGGAGAACGGCTACGGAGCGCGTATCGCTCAGGAGCGGCGCTGCAGGCAGCTCGGCGGCAGCGCGGGGGTGGGGTGAGGCACCCGTCCGTCGACTCGATTCTCACGAGGCTGGGGGGGGATTCGGGGGGAGAGGAGGATGGAAGGAGGAGCAGCAGCAGCAGCAGGACGAGGAGGGAGATCGGCCTGGGAGCTCGTATCGCTCGAAGGGCGGCGCTGCAGGCAGCTCGACCGCAGCGCGGCGGGCCGGGGGGGGGGCAGCAGTCCGTCTTCTCCTTGGGCTCCTTCGCCTTCTTCTTGCCCTCCTGTGAAGGGACAGAGACAGGAGGGGGCAAGCGGGAGGCGGGAGGCGGGGAAGTAGGAGGGAGGCAGGAGGAATGGAGGAGGGAGGAAGAAAGGAGGGAGGAGAGAGGAGCGAGGGCGCGGAAGGGAAGGGAGGGAGAGAGGCTGGTGGATTGGTTGGCCAGTTGGTCTCTTGGCTGGCCGGTTGGGACCATTTCGGATCAAGAGGTATGGAGGGAGGAAGGAAGGAAGGGAGGGGAAAGAAGGGAGGAATGGAAGGAAAGGGAGGCGGCAGGAGGCAGGAAGCAGAAGGAGACGGATGAGGAGGAGGAGCACGGCAAAGCAAATCCAAGAACTATCGTACCTAAAGTTTCTCCTGGCCTACAAGACGGGGGAGGAGGGGGAGAGGAGGAGGAGAACCAGCACAAGCACACGATCCATCAACTATATTGCAATAAACCCTCCATCCATATGCCCCTGCAAGGATTCATGTCACTGAAAGAGATGACCCTTTTGGAAACAACCGTTTGAAAGTCATGAACCGTGTCAGAACAGCATTCCTGGGACTTCAACGCCACGAATCACCGTTACTGTTGCGTCTTGGCAGTCCTGAATCGCGCCAGAAAGACACTCCTGGGACTTCAACAGCACAAACCAATCAAACCGTTGCACCCTGACAGTCCGACATCGTGCCAAAACATGATCTCTGGGAAATTAACAATGAGAATCCTTGAAGAAACTGCTGTACACTCTTAAACAACTGTGCGCGGAGCGAAAGCGAAAAACCAACTGTTGAAAAATAACCGCCCTCCATCCGTGAAACTCTTCCAATGTGTTCAGACGAATGTGCTCGGCGCTAAACCGAGAGCCGCATGTTGAAAACGACCCGCCCTCAATCCGCGAAACTCTTGCAATGTTCAAAAACGAGTGTGCACGACTTCGAGGCGAGAGCCACATTTTGAAAACGACCTGCCATCCACCTGCGATACTCTTGCAAAATGTGAAAAACGGATATGCGCGGCGCTCAGGCGAGAAGTTGCCAAGTCCAAGCTTCAGCATCATAAATGGTGAAGAAGTCGCAGGCGAAACGCGCGCCCCGCCCTTTCGACCGGCCTCGGGGTGCGACTGGGAGGAATTGTTCACAAGGAAATGGAATGGAGGAAGAGGAGGAGGAGAAGGAGGAGGAGGAAGCCACGGTTGCCCAGCACCAGGGCAGGTGCGCCAGCCATCAGGGGCCAGCCTCGATCGAAAATTCCGATCCCCAAACACTACCTTTCGCCCACTTCTCTTTACATTCCGTTTCGACTGCCCAGAGGAGACCATGAAGAGCTGGGAGGGCTGCCCGACACAGGGGCGGCCCGCAACCGACGGCCACCGAAGCGGCTACGGCGGCTCGCGCGCGCTGGCTCGCAGAGGCGAGCGAGGCGACATCGGCAAAAACACATTGGCGAGGGAAGTCTCCGCAACAGGGAGAACTTCGCTCTGGGAGCCACGGCTGCTCGGCAGCTGGCTCGTCGAAGAAAGGTCACCGTCTGCGAGAACGCACTGCGGCATCACATCCGCGAGAAGACAGTGGACCCCAGGAACGAGTACATATTGATACATATCCTGCAAGACAAAACCACGTCTACGACGACGCGTACGATTACGACGATCTCGGCTTCTTTCGCCTCCCATCGTTCATCCTCGCCGCGGCCAACGGCAACGTGCACACGGAGGACCAGCAGGAGGACTACGGCGCAGAACGCGAGGACAGCGAGGACGCGGACCATGGAGATGAGTGATTGGGACAGCAGCGCCGCCGCGCCGCCTGGGACGCTGTCCCCAGCGTCGGCGGCTGGGGCGGCAGCGGCGGGAGAGGGGCCGTGTTGGCGGCGGCGGCGGCTTCAGCATCGAAGCCAGCATCCTCGTCAGCTCCCCTGCATGATGGGCCTGTTTTCCACCACCACCACCATAAGTTGGAGGGGGGGAGGAGGTGCAGGACGAGGGGGAGGAGGAGGAGGAGGAGGAGGAGGAGGATGAGGAGGAGGAGGAGGACCCCCTCCCCCTCCAACTTATGGTGGTGGTGGTGGAAAACAAGCCCATGACTGCATATTCACAAGGTGTGCGTTTCGACATCCCGAAAAGGCGGGGGGGCGAGGAAAAGCGGCGCCTCGGAGCTCCGACCCAACATATGATTCTCGACCGCCGAGCCCGTGCCCCCGCCCCGGAGACGGGAAAACGAGGAGGCGGCACCCCGAAGCTCCGACGCAACGTGCTTCGAACGCAAAGTCCGTTTCGACGTACACCCTGCGAAATGCTTAAGAAATCATGGGTTAAGAAATTCATAGTCTCAGAAATGGAATAAAACCCAGAACTTCTATCAAAATCTTGGGATTTATATTGAAAAATTAAGAATAATCGAGACTCTGGACGAAAACTTAGGTTTTCTTAAGCATCGCCTAAGGTGTACCAGAGGTGGGAGATGAGGTGGCCCCTCAGGGCTCCGTCACGTGGCAGAGCACGCTCATCCCACCATCGATTCGAAGGCCATGGGTCGTCTTCGCCGATGCCCTCGAGTAGCGCCGCGTAGCGATTGAGGGCGGGACCGGCGCAGAACCCCGGGAGGACGAGCTCGAGCTCGTCGCACTGCTGGACACGCTCAGCCCGCAGGCGGCTTACCAGGAGCTCGACCCCTTCCTCGACTGTGCGATTACAGAACTTGCCGCCTTCGTCCGATTCCAGGGAGCCTTTCAACGTCGGCACTGATGCCACCAGGGGTCCCCCCCCCATCGCGCTTGGGAAGCCGTGCGCCCCGAGGCTCGAGCCGAATGGGTGCCAGCTCGTCCGTGGGACACGCTGGGCACGGATCCCCTCTGGGTCCCTCCATTGCCGAACCAGGTCGCCAGCGCGACTCCGACATCGGCTCCGACTGTGACTCCGAGCTCCAGCGCAGGTGGTGGGCCGCCAGTTTTCTAAATACGCGGCCGGAGGCTTGGGATCTGAACGACGCACATGTGACCCATACTTTGCCTTCACCTACCAGGGACCAAGGTCCGTGACCTGGAGGCCCCCCCCCAAAGTTCCCTTCCCCGGAGAACCCTGGGGGCTCTCTGGGGTCTGGGCGGTCCCTCCCCTCTCCCGCCTCTCCTTTCGTCCCCCTCGTTGGGCTCGTCTCCCTCGGCCTGGGCAGCCCTCCTTCCACCACAAAACCCTCTGTGTGCCGCAGCACGCCGCTGCAAGGCACCCCAGTTTGATCACACCCCTGGGGGTCCGGCCCTGGGGGGGAGAAAAGGCAGCATGCGGCGGAAGTCAGCATCCAGCGGATGATGATGCCATCAGAAAGCAGTAATCAAGAAGAGGAGGAGGAGGAGGAGGAAAAGGAGGAGTTTTTGTCCACCCCCTGACGGAGCATGCCACGACAGTTTGTTCCCTGTGAGGCGACGAGGGAACGACGGAGAGGAGGAAGAGGAGGCCTAGGGGGACACAACGACAACCCCCAAGAGCAAGAACGACAACGCGGGGGGACAATAAAAACAAAGGCGGGGCGACACAACAACGGGACAAGACGAAACGAGGCAAAACGACAAAAGAAACAATGGGCGAGACCGAAGCCTCAGAGGCCACCGCGTAGATGAAGCTGTGAATGGCCCCCACACCACCCCGTTGGAAAGTCCATATCTTTGGAGGCTACCTCTCAGATGTCGCCGCGAGTGGCCCGATCACCACCCCGTGGGGAACTCCATACCTTGAAGGCCGCGCCGAAGATGCCATCAACACCTGCGATGGCCAGGGAGCCACCGAATCAATAGTGCGCCCGCGAGGACCACCTAGCCATCTACAAAAGAAGAACCCATACCTGCAGCACACAACTCCTGGAGACAGACTGCACGGGCTCGCTGCAGAGCAACGCTCCAAGGTCGGACGGGTTGTCAGCCGCATCAGTCGGCCACGGTCAATGTGGGCAATGCGCAAATCCACCCAAGACCTCTTCGTGCGGCGAAGACACCTCAAAGTCCACGCGGCGTCTACGAAGCGGCGAACGACACTCTCGAAAGCGTTCAATCGGAATTCGTGCGTTTCAGCCAGAGGTGTCATCTTCACCCGAGTCCAGAAGAGAAGCCGAGAGAGGCGGGCGAGGGCGGAGGCGAGGAGCAACACCCGCTCCCGATCGCGAGGGCCGAGGCGGGCCTCAGCATCGCCGTCATCTGCTCAATGTTGTGCTGAATCTCAGTGAACTGGCTACTATGTACAACAGGGGGGCCCAGCAGGCTGCACACGAGGAAGATCAGAGGCGGGACGAGGAACCGAGTCAGCACGAACCTCTGCCAGACGAGCCTCCTTATGAATGGCGTCATGCCCATCGCCATGATCATACATCATATCTCTACAATGTCACTTCGCGTCTCGCTCGGCGCCGTCACCGCATCCGCAGGATCACAAACAACCACAGGAAAATCGGGTTCCACAAGGTACTCTCGCATAAGAACTTCGCCAACGTCGCATCCACCAGGACGGAATACGGGTGCATCCGCGTTCCTTGAGAACTCTGGGAATTGAGGAACATCAAATAAAACAGAGGATGCAGCACTCTTTCCGAGCGCCTGTACACGTGGCATCTTCGTCAACGGGCCAACACTTGAACCACTGGCACCGCCACCAACGCCGCGACAACGAGCAGAGGGCAGGCCACCCGCGCAAAGACCCCCAGCAGGGCCTCCAGGTCCAGGCCCTCCACCTACCTCATCATCACCACCACCACTACCACCACCACCACCCTCATCATCATCATCATCATCATCATCAGCATCATCATCATCATCATCATCATCATCATCATCATCATCATCATCATCGTCACCGTCACCGTCGTCATCATCATCATCATCATCATCATCATCATCACCAGCATCATCATCATCACCACCACCAAAACCACCACCGTCGTCATCATCGTCATCATCAGCATCATCATCATCCTCATCATTATCAGCAACAGCATCACCATCATCACCATCATCATCATCACCATGATCATCCTCAT